GTTCTTTCTTCTGTGTACCAGAGGAAGCGTGGAGGAGGGAAAATGTCTTCCTTCCAGAGGATATTTGCCTTTGCCATAGTTATAGAAAAAGCTGATGAATAAATCAGCCAGAAAAAAACCAAAACAAAACAAAAAACCAGAAGGGTCAGAAAACTTATGGTAAAGGAAAAAACAGTGAGAATACTGTATATGTCAGGACTCTGGTTGCCATTTCATAAACAACCTTCTTCCTATTTTTGTGTAATTTACTTTAACATCCTGTTTCTTTCTTTATCCCATGTGCAACTTTGGGATTTTGAAAAGGGCTGAAGCCTTAGAAAGGTTTTGTTTATTGTGTACTGGGAGAAGGTGGAGTCTTCTCTGCTAAAATTGGGAAATGTTTAAAGAGAGATAATAGATGCTGTTGCAATGAATAATGCCAACTTCCTTCCAAGAGGAGAGACACCACAGAAAGAAAAGTGATTTTTATTATATTTATTAGAGATTTACTATTTAATATATTTCATTTGAAACAACTTTGCACTTTGAGATCAGTTTTGACATGATTTTCAAGCTGTTGTATAAAGCCAACTTCCACTCTTCAAGTAAAGATATGTATTCTTGTGATAAAATTTGCAAATTTTTGTGCTGTGGCAAAGACAGCCTTCTGAACTACATCCATGTTTTGCCCTTGAGCCCTTGCCTGAGCAGCCCAGCATAGCAGGAGCTCTATAAATGATCATGTTCCTTGTGACTTCAGTTATACCAATCTGGGCTTGCAAAGAAGCAGAGCAGCTCCCTAGCCTTTCAGTCATTCCAGTTTGCAGTTTTAGTAAATGTGGGTTTAAAAAATCATTTGGTAAGTCATTACACAGCTGAAGAGGACAATGCAAAGTCTGAAAGTGTATCTTGAAGAATCTCTGTTTGAGTCCCTTGGGCTTTAGACTAAGCCAAAATGCAAACCTAAGTAAGAGGTGATGTGGTTAATTTGGGAGAATCTTATGTTCCCAGGTGGGTGCCAACAGGCAGCTCTGTGACACGTGTAGTGCAAAGTCAGTAGATGATGACACAGGCAAACTGTGCTAACAGGACTGAGACAGCCTCAGAGCAGTGCACTGGCAGGCAGCAACAGCTGTGGGACAGCTCAAAACTTTGACAGAGGCTCTGTGCAATGCTGGGATGCTAAGAAGAGCTCAGTTGATAAAGTTCAGTGGCATTCTAGATTCGAAAAAGGCAGAGATTATTTTAAAGTTGCAGGAGAAAAAGGTTTTGCAGTAGTGCAAGAGGAAAGTAAAGCAGCAGAGCTGGTTTAAGAGTGGCAGAACAGAGCAGGTGATTCCTTGTTCAAATTGCAATAGTGTTAGTTAATACTATTAATTTCTATTTTTCTATTCTGTTTAGGATAAGTTTTAAAAGGCTGCAAGCATTATAAATACATCTGTAAACTTGTATTTCCAAATCTCTTAGATATTTCTCAAATTTCGTTTGCTCATAGCATTTTTCTTGTATTGAATTATGTTCCCAAAACCACGGACACAATGGAGACCATTTCTCTCTGAGTCAATGTGTAAGCAACTGTTTCACTTGTGCTTCTACCATTCTCAAGATTTTATATTTTAATCTGCTTTTGGCCTGTGTTAGGGGTAAGATTCTGTCTTGAAAAAATTCTGACTCATCCACTGTAGGTATATTCTGTCCATCTCCATCTCCTTGTAACAACTACACTCATGAGCATATCCAAACAGGATTTCAGTCCCAAAAGACTGGAAATGGGGGAATAGGAGTTTGATCTCAGGTACTAGGCAGCTTCTGGACTACTTTCCATTATTCTTACCAAAGTTTAGAGGAATATTGAATTAAATAGAAAAACAGTCTTTCCCCTGCAAAAGCAGACCTGTCAAATGCTTTGGTGTACAGTTGTGTTTCTTTTAATATATGCTGGAAAAGATAATAAACAAATAGTTCTAAATGTGAGGGAGAAACAGCAGCAGCACTTAATTATGAAAAAGTTTCCTTTTGGCAAAAGAAGTTAGAAAGTATAACCTCCAATGCAAAACATGCAATGAGTTTTGTAATGTGTGGAAATAATAATAAGGGAATAGGAATATTGTTTATAATATTTTATATCTTAACTCTATGTGCTAGCACCATTTTTCCTTTCGTTTGAGCTACTTCACAAGAAAAAAAAATTTCCTGAAATATATGAGATACTGAAGCAAGACTATTCAATAATGTTTTCAGAATTTTCCTCAATACCTACTTCCCATTTACCATTTTTCCCAGTTTTTATTCTTTTATCTATTTACATTATTTATCGTGTTTTGTGGAGCAATTGTAAGTGATTCCTGGTTTTTTGAGAAAGATTTTAAGTTTTAGCATAGAAAGAACTTACGATATTTAAAAGAAATTGTTTTAACACTCTTTCAAATAGCCTCCTATTATGTGGGCCCTGGAAATTTTACAAATGTATTTGTGACAGAGTCTGGCATTCATTCATACCTTGACTCGTAATTTTCTCAGAGAAGAACCTGTGAAATTTATCTCTGTGTAAAGCCCTGTTAGACTGGCAGGAATGGCAGATTTCATTTCTCTTTAACACCAAGATTTGAAAGCTGCCCTGGGCTCCTGGGTAGTTCCTGCATGTTCATACGGGAAGCATCAAGCTGCTCTCACTGTTACTGAACACTTCTGTGTGTTGTAAACCCAGTTGTGACAATCCAGACCACACTCACTTTCCCTGCCGGCTCTTGACATTCCATGAGCTCCAGAGAGCTCTCTGAATCATGATTCAGAGGCCTTGCTTTGAGACACAGCCAGCAATTACAGCCAAGGTGAACCTGAAGTTCCAAGCACATTTCAAGTTAGGCTTGCACTGTGTTTAACCCTCAGTGACTTTAAGGAGTTACTATGAAATTGTTGCAACTGATGTCACTCCATAATCATGAGATTACCAAGAAGTCACAGACAACTTCTCACTTGGTTTTTTGCCCTATTTCTTCTAATTAGATCCTGACAGGATTTCCAGTTATTCACAATGGTTTGCTTTACAGCTGTGTGCCAGAAAAGTGCTATTAGTACTCAAGTCCCATAGGTAATTGTGTTTGCCAGTCAAAACACTAATGTGGTTGTCTGAGTTTTTGCTTTAATTTTCTGTCTAAAACAGCCTTGGAAGGATAAACTGAATCTTAAATGGCACATTATAGAAATCCTTATAAAAATGGCTTAGTGCCATGATATGAAATGCATTAATTGAAACATTAGATTTTGTTAGAAAGAGTAAGAAAATACAAGGTCAAGGTAAGTTTACAGGTGATTCACAGACCCAAAACTAACTTCACAAGGAATGTTGTGCAGAATTGTCATCTTCTCATTTATTTATCTTTATAACCATCTGCAGCTTTAGACTAAATTAGTAGCATTTATCAACTGTATAATCCCTTAAAAATTAGAAAACAGTTGTTTCTTTTATTAAAAAAGGAATATGGTGAGCTAGTAGGAACTAGTAAAGAGTGCAGATTAATTTAGTAATTGCTTTATTCCTGGGTAGATATGGAGTTTTGAACATATACACTGCTTACTTTTCAATCTTGTGATAAATTTATCTTCATTCTTGTAATCATTCTGTACTATAGACTTGACCTGAAAATTTGTCCGCCTTTAAGTTAAATGTGCAAATCTTGTAGTAACCTTTAAATATAATTTTTATTTATTAATTTTCCAATTAATGAATTAGAAAAATAAATTGAAAATAAATATTCCCATTAATAAATACAATATGTGGGATAAAGTGGAACAATTTTTCTTAAATTGTCTGAGATCCTAAATTGTTGATAGACTGTATTTGCTATGTAACAGCACATTTTGTGAAACCACGAGCTATAGTAGGATCCATATGCTGACCTTAGAGGTAGAAGAAAATCTCTTCATGCCACAAAAATTCGATAGTCATGGCACAGGACACCCGAGAGTGCAAGAAAAGCAAAAGTCAGCAGCTGGATCTTAGTGCCATAGCAGGTGAATCAGTATCATAGAATGTAATAATAAATCACTTATAGGCTGATGGGTTTATATCAAACACTTTACATCAATAATAGAGAATTCCTAGAATGCATTTCTTTTTAGTGTGAGATGTTTGTATTACATTCATTCAAATAATCTTGGAGACTCGGTGTAGGATGATTTGCTCAGAATCTCATACATCTCGGGAAGTTCCTGTGCCTGGAGCCTGATGGTGTTGCAGATCCAAGTCACCGTGCTGCTGATATCCTGGGTACTGAAAGGCACTCCTGAGGTAAGATTCATCTCAGGCTCATGAGCCTATGAGAACTTAACTGGTTGATCCTTGATCCACAAAAGGATTCAACACTGCTTATGAAACATTTATGTCTTCTTTATCTGTTGTAAACTGTGGGTTGCACAGAATTTTTCCCTTTCCCATTAGGATGTCCCAGTATCTAAGTGAAAGCCCTGGCAGTCGGTGCATGGTCATCTCACGTAGTCAATGGTTATTTCATTCAGCTGCAAGTGAACCTTGCAGGTTTGCCTGGAACTGAGCTGTTGAAAGAGGGCTGCCAATATCCATTCCTCATGGTGTGGAACTAACTATAGTAAGAAATTAAGTCCAACAATGCAAAATTTTTTCAACCAAGAGGGTCATTAAACCATCTGCTACTTATTATTTGATATTCACATGCAGTTCTTGGGAAATTTCAGGAGAGATCCTTGGCTAAGAGGTATCAGAATGTTGGAAGTCAGGTTTTTCTCATACTAATTCAGTACGGAGTTTCATCCTGCCTGAGAGCAATTTCAAACATGTGACACATTTCTCAAGTTCCCTCTCTTATCACTAGAGTGTAACATGGTCTGTGATAAAAGGTGACACAACTATGAAAGTCATTCTTGCTCAGTTGTCTATATCAGACTACAAGGGCTGGGGCTTTGATGCCTAGCCAAGTAATTGTCTGGGAAGGGGAAATAAATTCCATTAACTCCCATCTTTCTTACCCTTGTCTGTCGAGAAAAATTCAGCTGCTTATGGTTTTTATCACTTAGCCACTCCTACTTTGCTATATTCCTTTTGTGGAAGTGTTAACAAAGCAGTTAAGATGATACCTAACTGTCTGGGGGAAAGAAAGGAGAGAGAGAAATAGTCCAAGTGACAAAACAGCATGTTTTTTATTTAGGGTAGAGCACATTCCAGAGACAAAAGCAGGGTGCCAGTCCCTTAATAGAGTTGCAGCTGGTTTCAAGCATAATTTGATTTATCAGTATGTTTACAGACACACAAACATACATATTTTGCTACTGCAAAATCTTTTCTCTTGAATACTTGTCATTTTGGCTTGATGGAAGTAAAAATTGATTCATTCCCAGTTGCTTCTATTTGAAGGTCAGTTTCTTCAGGACTTTCAGTCCATTTCCAGAGAGGGGAGGGTAACAAAATCTAGGTAAAAAAGAGATTTAATTTCTGTGTATCTTTAAAAAAAAATCAATAAAATAAACTGAGAAATCTCTGTAATTCTTACTAATATGAAAGATTTAAAAATTATGAATTTTGCATTCTGCAAAATAATTTAATTATTTTCTGACATCTGTGTAGTATTTCTACCTGTTAGTGAGCCAGTCCATTGTGGGACAACAAAGATAACATTTCTATAACACAAGGCAGCAAAAATACCCAGCCAAGCACAGTACTTCAGAATATGAACCATTGTAAGAGAATAAAAAAGAATATATTCTGGAAGATAAGTTGAAGGATAATCCATTAGTAGCAGTGCACTTTTCAGTGGCCTGTGTAGGAGAATCCAAGTTCTGCATTTCTTGCAGGTGGAATGGTCTGTTATAGATCTTGCTGTCATTATTGCCCCTTTTCTTTCTTGGTCCATAGGGACATGCATATACCTCATGACTGAAGAGCAGGAAGGATGTGGCAAACAGGGAAGTGACTCATGAACAAGGGCATTGCAGAGCTGCTGCTGGTGAGTAATAAGAAAGCTTGGTCAAAAAGTTCTCCATCACTGTCTTGAAAAAATTCTTCTGACCTTATGAAACACTGGCCTTAATAAAGTACACAACAAGATTTAATGGTATTAGAATTTCCTGTGGAATGTTGGGGGAATTAAGTAACTTGCTCATATTCCTTCTTAAATGTTTTCATCTGACTTTACCTTGCCATATCCTAAGTTGTGGCTATCATCTGCATGTTGACCCAAAGTCCACTCTATTTTTTCACTCTGTCCATTTTGAATGAGTTTTGTCGGGTTTTTTTTTTTTTTTGTAGTTTTCTCCAGTGAGAACAAATTATTTTTATGTGCCTTGCTATATTCAGATCAAAATAAAAGTGAATCTGAAGTCTTACTTCAGAATTCCCAAAGAGATTTTGAATACTCCAAGGGTCATATTTGAATTTAATTCTTGTTATAGCCTAGGTAATATTTCAGGAGGGAAACTTATTTTTAACTATGCCACTGTGAAGAAAACAGGAGCACAGCTATCCAAACTAATGAAGTTTGGCTTGGATTACAGCATTTGACAGTTAAAGTATGTGGATTTCAACACTATCCAACAGTTTCATTTTTAGATCCAGCACCACTAAAATCATACTTTCAGTTTTTTAGAAATAAAGTTTGGAATTTCCAAAGCATGTATTTTTTTCCAGTAACAGAAGACTAGGATAAAAAATAGGGACTTTTTTTCTCTAGTGGCTTTTATTTATTATTAGATGAAATTTTTGTTCTGTCTGTGAAGTGGACAATGCCTCTGAATAGAAGAAAATAAGAAATTAGCTAATCTGTAGTCTATGCATCTTATCACTCTTCTGTATTATTTTATTTGGCACCTTTGTGGATTCTAGTTGCCTTCAGACTAACCAGACAGGAAGTGTCCTAACTGAGAAGCTGGTGCCTGAGAAAGATAATGGAGGAAGTACATGCATTTATTTTTATATATGGTATTTAAGAAATTCCAGAAAAGGGAAAGAAGCAGATAATAAAACTTTCTTAAGATTTTCTTTTTCTTTTTCTTCTTGCAATAGATGACAAGTTAGATGTGGAGTACAATTGTGAGGTGTGATGTGGGTTACAGGGTAATGCGTTGGTGTTCTTTTTGTAGTTAGGTACAAAGTTACAATTCCTGAAACAGACACAACCCTTTAAATAGATATGCATGTAGATCTCATCCTTCCCATCCGGAGATGAAAATTATAGGGAGTCAGTGATGCTCTCCTCCCCCTCTTGGGGCTATACAGAGATTGTATTATTGTCAGGTGTTGAGAAAGCAGGTGGAGAGAGTCAGGAGAAGCAAAGTTTGGGGCAGCTTTGGGAACCAAAAGTCTGGGTGCTGAGGAAGGAGACAGTGTGTAACCCATAGAACAGGCTATTGAAGTTACTGAGAACTGAAAATGTTGAGACTGGCAGATCATTTCCTGCTCTATTAGCCATGTAATCAGCAGTCTTCATACATGTTCTCCAGCTTCATGTTTTTTCAGTTACTTTATCAAGATATGACCATATTAAAGGTACTGCCTTGCATGTGGTGCCTGAAGGGCATTCCTTCTTTGCTGATGTGAGTTTTGTCTCTGAGGTTAGTTCTCATTTGAGTTACAGCACAGTCCTCTGGCTCTTTTTCTTCAGGCACAATCATCCTGCAGAGGTATCAGACACTCTGTGCGTGGGGTGGAAGCTTTTCATCCCAGCTGCTTCTGTAAAGCATCTGAAACTCTGAGGCTTTCTTTACTCAGACCCGCAGTGCACATCCCAAGAATATTTCCTGAGATGTGTGAGGGCTGCAGTTTGAACAGGGGACCTAGGTATGGAGTTGCTGTAACATCTCTTTGATATGGGGCTAAAGAACTGTTGAGTCAGACTTTGCTGCATCCTTTCACCAGAATTTCAGGTCAGATGAGTTTCCTTCTACCTTCTTTATTCTTAAATTTCCTCTGTCAAAAGGACAGAGGAAATTTCTCTCTCTCTTCACCATAGGTCCTTGTCCATAAATCACAAAAGCACTGGTGAAAGTTTTAAGAGTCCAGATTCTGCAAAAGTTTTCCCCTAATAGCTTCCATAAGACAGGAGGAAAAAATGCTGGAAAAGCTGTATAAACATTGGATAACTAACGTGTTGGATAATGTGCATTTTGTTCAAATAATTCATTAAGATTTCAAGAACTTGTTATCTCTTTTGCCTAGAGGAAGCTAATAAATGTATCATATAGGTATTTAATAGAATTGCAGAAGTAGGAGTTAAAGGAAATGATTAGCACAGTTCTGAAATGGTTTCTTTTCTTAAATTCCAGATAAATCTGATGTGAATTTTAGTTTCCTGAAGGACACTTGTGTTTTCTTATGCCGGGCCAAAAATTGTGTTCAGTGTTTCCAAACTCTGTTTTGCAACACATACTTGTTTATCTTAGTTTGTCCCTCAAAGCCTTAGAAGTCTGTTTTGATTACTAGACGTATTGAAAAACATGTAGTTGCATCCCAGTGCTTAATTATTTTAATCTTTTTTGCCTTTAGTAATATTCTTGTAATTCTTGTTTCATTCGAGTCCCCATTACACTCTGCATGTGTCGAGATTTCTTCCAATTGGTACTATAATACTTATCTCACTGTGGATGTAGATGCATCCTCTGTTTTACCCCCAGCATTCTCCTCTGTGCTGTTTGAATAAAAAACTAGATTATCTGAACTCTCAAGGTCAAGTGCTAAAACTTGTCAGCTAATCTCTGTTTGTTTACAGCCAGAACAGAGTGTTCTGAAAATAACCCTACTTGGTGCCCATCTTCCTATTTTGAGGTTGATGCCGAGGGTAGTAGGAGCAACGGTAATGTACATATTTTATTTTAAATACATAGAAGGTTTACATTTGAAGTTGTGTAAAGAGATAGTTTTTTAAAACTTTTTAAAATTTTCGCAGATTTGTAGTTCCTCTAGTAATATTTGTTGGCGAACTGTGCTCTTACCTAAACTGTCTGAGTTGAATTTGTCTGAATACTCAGGATAGTAGTCCCTCTGGTAAGGATCCAGCTCCAGTAAAGTTAATGGCAGCTGTACAGTTTAATTTACTGAGACCTGGATCAGAGTTATTTCCTATTTCATGTTATCTGATGAAGGACTTGATTAAGACCTTTCCAGTATGCAGCTATGTCCTCCTATGTTTAATTTTTCTTTTTCCATCTAGAAACTGATTTCCCAGAAACAAGGAAATATTGCCCTTTCTCTTTCAGCTTAGCTTCTGATGATTATTTAAGCAGTCCAAGCAGAACAGTTTCATTTCTTGCTTTTCTCTGACTATGATTTTAAAGTAATTATTTGCAACTTAACTGAGAGAGTGCACTCTCCAACAAGACCCCTTTCTCTGCAGTAAAATCTCACTGTGTAGAAGTGTTATTTCCTGTCCTGGATAGCTCTTGGATTTTGGATTTGATAGTGGTATTTCTAGAACAGTACACTGCTTGCATTTTGTGACACTTAGGAGTGTTTTATTCTTCCTCCACCTTCCCCACCTCCTTCTCTGCCTTCTCCTCGTCCTCCTCCTCCTCCTCCTCCTCCTCGTCCTCCTCTAACAAAAAAAAAAAAAGATGGTGATAATAAAAATAAAATATTATGGTAGAATCCACTGTAGCAATTTCATTGAACTTTAGTTTTAGTGACTTTTGGTTAGGCATTTCCAGATGCTTCAGATTTCCCTGTTTTATTGCCTTCTGGGTAATTCTTGGATTGTCTTGGAGTGGATTTTTCATTTTTTATTATAATTATTATTATTATTCCCAGCTCCCTCAGCTGCTCCTCCTCAGTCCTGTGCTCCAGCCTCTTCCCCAGCCCTGCTGCCCCTCTCCAGGCTGGCCCCAGCCCCTCAGTGTCTCCCCTGAGGTGATGGGCCCACAGCTGGGCAGGCTCTCCAGCTGTGCCCTCACCGGTGCCCAGTACAGGGGCACAATCCCTGCCCTGCTCCTGCTGCCACACTGCTCCTGATAGAGGCCAGGATGCCCCTGGGCACACCTGGCTCATGTTCAGCTGCTGTCAGTCAGCATCCCCAGGCCCTTCTGCCCTGGGCAGCTTTCCAGCCTCTCTTCCCCAAGCCTGTAGTGCTGTATGGGGTTGTTGCTAAGAGCAGGACCTGGCTCTTCACTGTATTGAACCTCATCCAATTGGCCTCAGCCAATTTATCCAGCCTGTCCAGATCCCTCTGTAGTACCTCAATTACTTAAGCAGTTGAATAAATAAACAACTGAGATTTAGTAACCTTTACCCATTCTTTGCATTCACAGCATTTCCAACTGAAAATTAAACATCGAAAGTATTATTTTACTTTTTTTCCTAACATTTCTGCCATATTAGCCAGTAAGTGTTGTCCTCCGAAATATTCCAAACTGGATTTGTATATCCACTGCAAAGTGGCATTGGGTATATTAATTAATTCCATTAGTTTGAAGAGTATAAGCCTGATTCAAGCTGATTAAGTCAGATCTCCAGACTTCTGCTATCTGATGTATTTCTTTATTTTTAGAGATCAAAAATACTTAGGAACATAAGTAACAACACATTTGAAACTGGTAGCACAGTTTTCAAGGGAAATACTGAGTCATGTAATGTTGTTTACAGAGCTGAGCATTGTTAGAACTGTTCTGAAAACTCAATCCCACAAAAATATTTTCATTAAAAACAAATTTGAATAGCTTTTTATCTGAGATATAGTTGCATTCAATTACTTTGACTTACGCACATTCTTACATTTTCTCTGTCGTTTGCAAGATCAGATCTGAAACAGATTTTTCCAAATGTAGTAGGCACTGTATTTACAAGCTTTACTATTTATTTTCCTGGGCTATCACAAAAGCAGCAGAGGGCGCTGAGCCAATGGACACCGCCCGATTGGTTCTCTTCCTCCCTGCTCTGGATTTTCCAGTCCAGGGATTTCCCACTCTGCCCCAAGGAGAGACAGCCTTTATAAAGAGCCAGCTGGAACTCTTGTAACAAACCGTTGCAGAGCAGCAAGATCTCACAGTGCTTCTTCACAGAAAACAGAAAGCAAACTTTTGAATTTACTTTCTTTATCCAGCAACAGCAATTACAAATGTTTAAGGAGATGGGAAGAGCAAGCCAGGCTGTGCTATTAATTTTGTGCGTGTTAAGGACTGGTAAGTTGGGGAAGGTGAGGGTTGGTGGTGCTGGTTTCATTTTTTTAAACTTTGTTAAGTGTAAAGTGACCTAAAATTTGCAGTTTGATCTTTATTTCTCTTTTCTCCAGTTACCTTTTCATTTCAGTGAATACAACTGTCAATTAAGTAGTCCTGTCAAAATGTCAGGAAGCTTTTTTGACATTTACTTTGAGCTTTTCTGTGCTCTGCAATGACTCAGTCGTTTTCCTATTGAGTTTGCTAAAAGATAGTCTAGGAGACAACTGCAGTACATCACTGGATGCTTGACTTTTTATTGTCATTCCTGACAGTAGCAAGCAACTTTGGTACTAAATGTCCTGTTGAAAGTGTTTCTACTGTTGTCTTTGCTATCTACCTGCTACCTCTCCCCTCAATTGTTACAGAGTTTTAGAATCAGATCCACCTGACAAAAAAGATAAGTTGTGCCAATGCATTTATTTAAATTTGGTTGATGCCATTTTATACATGAGAACTGTCAGTCATCTGAGTCTGTATTGTCTTTGACAAAAATAGAAATGTTTATGGGATGTTTTGAGCTGTATTAGCTTTATGAGCTTTATTAGTTTAACTTCCACACAACCATAAAGTAAAGAAATGAAGCATAAAGACCTCATGTAACAGTAGAACATGAGAAGAAATAGGGAAATAAAAGCTGAGAAATCTGCTGAATTGATGTATGTTTTCCCTTTTGTAGTTAAAGCTTTTGAAATGGAAATTATGCCTGCTGAGAGAATTGTGGCACAGATTGGAGGCACACTCATACTCACATGCAATACTACTGGCTGTGCATCACCAAGTTTTTCCTGGAGAACCCAGATGGACAGCCCCCTTGGAGGAAAAGTCAGAAACCACAGGACATATTCTACATTGACTATGAATCCAGTTGGTGTTGTGAATTCTCATTCTTATCTTTGTACTGTCATATGTGGTGAGAGAGGGAAAAAGGAGAAGAGTGTCAAAGTTGAACTTTACTGTAAGTAAAAATGTAAAATTCTCTTTAAATAGTACATGTTGATAGAAAACTCAATAATTGTTTTAGATATTGTGGTTACCAGTTAACTTTTAATTCTAGGATAATGAGTGTTATAGCTCAACATATACTTCTTCTGAGATTCCTTTATATGTCTGTTCAGGACACTTTCTTAGCCCTTTTCTGCTTTCTGCATTGAAGATTGTATGTACTAATGTTATTTGGTCTTGTTTCTGGTAATTCTTAAAAGCAAAAATGTGCACTGCTTGAATGCATTCCTACAGCTGGGAAAATAAAAATCAATGCCTTTGTAGTTTGCAGGAGAATCATTCAGATGTCCAAACCTACCAGCACAGAAAACAGGATCGCACTAGTGCATGGATTGCTCTCAATGCCTATAGTTAAGCAGCTGTATCACTGCCTAGGTGCCATGCTGAATCTTACTAATCTTTTGTGATCATGTTTCAACAGTTGTACAAATAAACTTCCTGTTAGTATATGTACTGCTCATAAAGGACCTGTAGGTCTTCAGATCAAGTTATGTCTCGTAACAATGTTGATAGAATGTCATGTTCTGAGCACCTCTAAAATCAAGATATATGGTGTCTGGATCTTGCTCTTATGTTGACCCTACTGTTCTTCTCTGCTAGTCTAAAAAAATTGATTTTGTTCTTTTAGCTTTCCCCAGTGATCCTATCATTGACATCAGCCCATCCTTAGTTGCTGGAGAACCAGCCCCTGTCATCTGTAAAATTCCTGATGTGTATCCTTCTCATCACTTGGAAGTTCTCCTAAAGAAAGATGGGCGTGTTCTTCATGAGGAATATTTTTTGGATGATGACAGCACAAATACAGAGACCAAAACTGTGACATATACATTTCATCCCATGGCTGAAGATGCTGGGAAAGAGATTACCTGTGTGGCCAGGTTACCAATTGCTGATATGGATTTTGAACCCAAAGAAAGAACATCTTCTCAGAAACTTAATGTAAATTGTAAGTATTTTTGTACAAGGGCTTTGGCTAGTTCAGCTTTCAAAGCTGCAAGTAAAACATCTTACTAATTCTGGAAAAATGATCCCACTGTACTACTGGGATACTTTTTTTTTTTTCCTTGGTATTCTGTGACATGTACCTCTAGAAAAGCTAGTGTTAGAGATGTGCATATCATTCTTCATTTACCACTGATCTTGTCTTCCTTTTGTTTTCTTACAGTTGGTCCACAAAATACTATCATTACTGCATCTCCAAGCAACTCACCAATGGAAGGAGACTCTCTGAACCTCACTTGTGTGACTCAGAGTAACCCACCAGCACAAATAATTTGGAGTAAATATTTGGCTGAAGAAAGCATTCAGCATCTGATAAAAAACAATGTTCTTTTTATTCCCCGTGTCCATTTCAATGAGTCAGGACGGTACATCTGTGAAGTAATTAATCTGGTAACTAATAAAACAGAGGAAGCAACTGTGGACATTGTTATGCAAGGTACAAGTCTGTTTGAGTTTCACTTGTATTATCCAGTACCTAACTGGCTGATCTCTGTTAGCTTGGAGGATGCTGAAACACTGAAAATTAGGGAAATGCGGGGCTTTCTTTTTTACATATTCAGGACTCAGCTTCAATTTAAGGCTGGTTCTCATGTGCTGTAGTTTTTCTTTCTATATTTAATTTTCAGCTAATTCTCTCAGTACTGCTGTTGTGCATGCACAGTTCAGTACATTTCCCACAATGCAACACTGTAAGTCACAAAAGAGTCTGAGAAAGTGGTGGGGACACACACACTGTTATTTCTGTGAAATGTAATGTGCATACCAGTTTCACAGGGACATCACAGTCTCCTTCTTTGAACTAGTAGTTTTAATCATTAGCATTAAATTTAATAGGCATTTAATGGTAAAACTGTTTTGGACATAATAATATTGTTGTAATATTTTGTGATTGATTGATTGACTGCTACTGTTTTGACAGAGCTAAAAGTCTTAGATTGAGTCTGGGGTCAAAACCAAAATAAACAGATTCTTGAGCAAGCGATTCATGCTTTCTTAAAACCTTCTCCATCTTTAGAACATTTGCATTACTCTAACAGCTTTTTCTTTTGTCATGCAGGTGCTCCAGTCATTACAAAACTCTCCATTGAACCTTCTACAACAGTTCAGGAAGGACAAAATGTCTCCATACAATGTTCTGCTGAAAGCAACCCTCCTCCCAAGATAATTCTAAGGAGAAAATCTGACAATGCGGACACAGGGACTTCTAATGCCAGAAGTATTTTTCTTCCATCTGTGATGTTCCAAAATGGAGGAGACTATGAATGTGTAGCAGAAAATAAGTATGGGAACAGTAAAAGTGAAATCACACTTAATGTGAAATGTAAGTATGTGTAAAGTTTTCCCAGTCATTTAAAAATAGTTAGTTCTTCAGTGATAAATATAATCATCAAATTAAATGAAGAGAGAGCAAAGAATCATCACATTCCTCTGCTTTTCTCTGAGAAAGGAGCAGTGCTGATGAACAAAACAAAGTAATGAAATCTTTAATGTGATGACAGTCTTTAGTAGAGATCTGAATGAGTGAGAAACTGATCTACATGGTTAGAGGTATTTGGTTAGAATGTCTGGGCTATGGAGAATTTGTACAGAAACTCTGATACCATGTGCTTTACTTTTGTTTTGGGAATGAAAAAGAAATTAGCTTTGGGAGGGTGACAGTCTAGTGTCCAATAGGACATGTTGGATCCATCTCTAAAAAATCCAGTGATGATTAACTGTAGGCCTCTTCCTTTCAGATGGACCAAAGAATACAATGATCACTGTTTTCCCTGCTGCTCTTAAAGAAGGGGAAACTGTGACAATGAAATGTACTAGTTCTGGTAATCCAGCTCCTGTGATCTCCTGGAAGAAAAAGAAGGCCACCGGGGAGTTTGAGAAAATTTCTAAAAATGCAACTATAACTATACAGAACTTGAAAAGTCAAGATCTGGGGCTTTATGAATGTGAAGCTTATAATCCATTTGGCAAGGAAGAAAAAGCTGTGGAATTATATGTTCAAGGTTGGTAGAACAAGATGAAAAACAAATTCTTTCGGTTTATGTATTTTAGGTCCAGATCTTCTTGAAGAATGAGGTAATTGTGTCTTTGATGTCAGTGGAGTTAAAAGGTGGTCCTAATATCACTAAGTGATTTAGGAAGCTTTAAACAATGAAGTGTGAAGTCTGCCTTAATACAGATAGATTATGAAAAGTTCTTAAGTCGGTGGGGCATCCATCACTCCTCCCAGCTGCCAAGTGTAAGCATGAAATAAAGAGGATATGCAGTGCCTGGAAGGAAATATCCTGCCAAGCAGGCCTATCAGTGGATTTTTGCATAAGAAAGACTCAAGGAGACTACATGCTGAAGCTGCTCTATGGAAGCACTGTATTACAGCTCTTTGCTTCTTCCCTAAGCTTCAGCTCTGTTTCCTGCTCTTACAGGCTGCATTTAAGCTACAAGAAATGCTGATTCCTCAACTTAGTTGGAATGATAGCCAAGTTTCATTTTCAATAATAATCAGACTTCTCTGCTTTAGCTCTGCTGCTTCTGCCTATTGCATAGCAACAGTGTCTTGCTTAGGGATCACTTCTGCCACCAATTCAGCTCTCTTCCCTGTTCTTTACTTTTTTATAGCTGCACCAAAAAATACACTTTTGATTTCTCCTTCAAGCAAAGCGAAACAAGGACAAAGTGTTACTATTCCTTGCACATCTGCAGATGTTACATCTCTTAGGACTAGTCTGTAAAAGAAAGTTGGTGATGGGTTCACAACCCTTGAAACAGTAGATAGCAAATATACCACAGACAAGGCTCAGCTAAGGGATGCAGGAAAATACACATGCATACTGTTAATGAACTGGGGGAGCAGTCTCAGCACATAGTACTTGTGTCAAAGGTTAGTTAATATAACTGCTGTGCAGAGTTCATACTAGGATTTGTTTTACACAGTGTGACATCTTCAGTTTCATTAAGAATGAATTGTCTTTAAAAAATCTGACATGAGTTGCACAGGTTCTTGTCATAAGTGATAGGGTCTTAATGCTAATGAAAACTTCTGCCAAAATAGCAGATGCATAAAATAATTGCTGCTTCAAATTTTTTTGTATTTCCACTTCAACTTTTGAAAACAGGATGTAAAATTGCAGAACCTTGTGAAAAAAAAATACAAATACAGTTCTAGGACTCCTTCCTTTGCCTTTTCTGTTTCTCTTCTGTTGAAAGAGGGCATCAGCCTCTGGGTTTGTTGGTCTGTTCCCTTTCATGAACTCAAACAAATAAACTGTGAAGTTGAAATAAGAGAAGAGGCTCCATATAATGTAAAAGTTATGCAACATATTCTGTCAGTTGATAAAATGTTCTTTTTGCCAGCTGCTGTTGGCTTCAGTGGGGAAGGACAGCTGGTGTCAGAGCAGTGTCTAAAGCTATGGGCTCAACTACTACAGTGGCCCCATTAACTGGATTTGTATTTTGCATGTAAAAGCTGCTGATGCCTCATGAGTTCTGCTTCTGTTTGTTGCTAAATCCTGCCTTGAATTTCTTTTCAGTTCCTCTCCAAAATATTAATGAGTTAGTACATCCATCAGAAAATGTTAAAAAAGTAGAAAATATCACTGTTACATGTAGCACATATACCCTCAGAGACAGCCCTGAAAAAAAGCCCATCAGGAGAAATTATTCTGCCATCAGTGAATGGAAACTTTATACTCTGCAGTGTCATCAAAAATTATACAAGCATATACTCCTCCATATTTTCAGTAAGGTTGGAACAACATTACAGAGATTGAGATAGCTGTTGTAGGTAGCTGGGTCTATTGCCTTAAACCTATTTTTTTGTATGTTTTAGTGAAATTTGTATCAAGGTGGGCACAACTAGTTCATAGCTGATCCTTGCATGGCAGTACTGTGGTTAACCTGAAAAAAACCCCTCACCCAAAATCACACCAAACAGCCTGGTCAGAATAAGCTGTATTTTAACCTCCTTTCAGTGTGGCTGTCATTGTCTTGCTTAGTTGAGTTGGTGTGGTAGCTTTAAGGATAGGGCCACAAAAAGGTGATTCCTGGCTGCATTTCTGTCCACATGCTTGGACAATGAGACTAATCCAGAGAAGATTGTATTTCACAGAAAATCTAAATATTGAGCTTTTAAAACATGGTCTTCCCCTTGAAGAATGAATTTCAGGAGGTTGAAATGTACCCAAATGTTTCCTGGGTAAAATATGTGGTATTCCTCTTGTGTTCTTTGTGAATTTCATGGTATTCTTCATTATAGATGATATCAGAGATAGGTTTGAACTTGCATAGCAAATTCAAGACCAAGATAGTGGCTAGGAATTAAAGTATGTAATATGAAGAAAGAAAAAAATAATTAAGGAAAACTCAAAAAATATGCTTTGTGCATGAAAACAGAAATATGTTCCAAATGAAAGTCATTAATAAGACTGCTTTTACAGAGATGCACATGTATTTGTTTCAAACAATATTTACACTTTTTTTTCTCCTTTTGTCTCCATTTTCAGCAAGATTGGAAGAACCAGATCAGATGATCCCATTCATTATTGCATTCTCATCTGTAGCAGCAGTAGCAGTTCCTGCAGCTGCCATTTTGATCTACGTGTCAAGACAAGCAAAGATCAATGGATCCTACAGTCTTGTAAAAGCACTGAGGTTGAAAGTTTGATCATGTGAATATAAGTGTTTAGTTGATAATAAGCACTTTTATTTATTGCTGTGACTGGTTCTACTCTTCTGTAACAAACGAGTGACTTAAGAACAGCACTATGTGATAGCAAATGGGCTTATTTTCATGTTCTCATAAGTGTTTTGGTATTTAAATTAAAGGAAGAGCTAGAATCCTGACCTAGAAATTGGTAAATCATTTCTGTGTTGAAGCATTCTGAACAAAGAGTTCTGTGAAGAACTAGGTTTGTACATAGTGTATAATTTGTGTTATAAATATGTTCAACTAAATATCAGTTTGTAAAACTTGTCTTATTGCAACTGTACAGAGAAATTTTGTTAATTCAAAGACATAAATCAATATTGCTTGAGCTGATCAGGTGATTTTTATTTTGTATTACTCTGCAGCATGAATGTTTTTTAATATAATTTGTCTGGTTGTGGTAATGTTTGGAAAATATTCTCTTTTCACTGATATTGCCATAAACTATACCTTCAATGATGTTACACAATCACTGGACTATGCATTTCTAACAAATTTAAACTAATTTTAGCCTTTGAGGGTCATTTGCAAAACATTTTATTTTAAATATTATTCAAAATCTGGGGTTATAATCCTGTAAGTTCTAGCACTGCTAAGGCATTCTTGCTGGCTTTAATCATTCTCAATCAATGTCAGAATTCCGTTATTTTGTGATGAGCCAAATCAGACCTTTCTTGTAAAATACAAGGGCATTGTAAATATGCTTTACAGATTTCCACTGCAAAATAAAACTACCAGCAGATTTCTTTGTCTAAATCCCCCTAGTGATGCTTGTTTAAGATTATGCCAGAACACACATTACTGTGGAAGGAAATTGTCCCTGGCAGCAGCGGTTGTAGATGTCATGGGAAAGACACAAACAAGGCCAGAAGCCTCAAGGCATAGGCAGGGGCACAGGCAAAATCTGTGCACCTCAGCAATGGTGGGTGAGTTGTTGCCTGAAGAAATGCCCTTCCCAAGTTCCTCACTGTGAAAATCTAAACCACGTGCTTGACAATTTCCCTTTTAACAGAGAACTGTCTGCATGCTTCACTCAGGTTGGCACCTCTTTCACCACACACTTTCCAGAGCTGGCAAAATGACTGTGAAAATGGTGAACTTCCAGTGCAGAGGCAAAGATGGAGGGAAGGAGAGGTGGAATTTGATAGTATTCCTCCTTTCCTCCCTTCTCCTGACTAGCAGTGGTGCTTTGACTGATTTGGATGCTGATGTTCAGCGCCGAAGGCAAAGCTGTGGGAGATGCAGGCTCTGTGGCTGAGATGTTGAAATGCATCCTAATGCACTGTGACCTGATCCACTGTGCTAGGCAAGGAAGGTTTGGGGACCTGGCCCCTCCAAACTTGCACACAAGAAGCTCAAGCAGAGGTATGTGAAAAGAATATGTCTACATTATACACATGGTGACAACTGCTGCCAACAGCAATGCAAATGTGGGTGCTGGCTCTGGCATGTGGCAGTGGTGCACATTTCCCATGTTTTTTCATAGTTTGTTCAGCAGTGTTTTGTGCACAGAAAATCAGTTCATGCAGGATGTCTATCTAGATTGGAAAGGGAGGCTTGGAAAGTGGGGGTGTAGCAGAAAAATGGGAGAGCAGTGTGGACTTGGCTTGGAGGAATGTGAGCATGCAGTGGGAGGGTGAAGAAAAGATTGAAGACAGAGGAGGAGGAGAGCTTTGACAGGCCCATGACATAAATTTCTTGGAGGTGGTGCCAGGCATATTTATTCAGAATAATGTCAGGCCTGTCTCAGTGCTGTCTTGTGAATAAACCAGAAAGCATGATTTTTTCCTCTGCAAAACTTTGGTGCACACACATTTGCCTAATCAGTGAGGTTCTGGTGTCTGTATTGCAGGAAGGATAGCTAGGAAAGAGACAGAGAAGGAGGACTGGAAAACAGGGCAAATAAAAATGCCTGGGACTTTCCAGTTTGGAGAGAGAATGCTGAAGGAGGAGGCATTCTGATTGATGTTTTCCAAATTGTGAAAGCAGTTGATAGCAAACAACAGATGCAAAACTATTTGCTAAATCATGCAATTCCAGAACTACAGGATATGCACACTAGGGAGAAATTGTTTTAACAAAAATAATAGAACAGTATTTTTTCCCAGGGTGAATGTCAATCTACTGGAAGCTGCTGCAGAAGGGTCAGGGGGATAACAGTATCAATTGGTTCAAAAGCAGAATGGAAAAAATAATGGGCTAAAGGTCCATAAAAACCCAAAAGGGAGTAGACAGAAATGTACTGTACAACGTCCCTTATTCAGTGGCCATTGATGCTGAGCAATCCTCAAGATACATACCAGAGAAAGGGGCCAGTGTATGACATGTGAAATAGTGTCTTTCACTGCTGTAGAGATCCTGGGGTGGGTGGGTTACTGGTGAGACCCACCAAGGTATGCCTTGCCTTCTTACTCCTCCTCTGAGCAGCCTTGGGCCAGACCTTGCAGAAGGGGCATAAAAGTTCCTGTGCTGTTTTTCCCCCTCCTGTGGACTGAAAAGATGAAAGATGGGTGGGAGAGAAATAGGAGCCGTCTTGCAACATTGCTTTAGTGCTTGAGAAGTCTTTACTGGAAATTCCTCCGCTAGTTTCCAGAATTCTTTCAGCTGTTGGTTTTGTCAGTATTTCTGATACAGATATGTCCTCGTGGCTTGTCTGCCCTCTCAGGACCTCAATTGAGGTACTAAGTGACTTAAGTCAATAGAAGTTGCCCCTGGATTTCAACAGGGCCAGCTTTCCTCCCAGAAACGTTAAGTGAATAGAAAGAATTTTTAGTGTCCATTTTAGGAGAGGTTGCTCTTGTGTTGGCAGTGAGTTCCTAGCAGTGAAATCACAAAGAAGGGTCTTGCCAGGGGATTTCCTGTCCTGTCTCGGTGTTTTCCAGGGAACTTAATGCTATCAGTACAAGCTTGTCTTATAAAGGTTTAAAGTTCACAGTCAAATAACTTCTCTTTTTATTTAAAACTACAGAAGGAATATTGCTTCTCCTTACACAGTTTCTCATCAAGCAACTTGCAGAGCCTCTGTCCTGGCAAAAAGCCATGAACAGCAGCTCCAGCCCAGCAAGTCTAGGGCTGGAGGTCTAGGTAAGAATCCCTGTCACAGGGCCTGCCTTTATGATCAAGAAAGCCTTCTGTAAAGCAAAGAGCTGACAGGTCCTCTCAGGTTTTCTCTATAAAGTCACTTCACAAGTTATAGATTTGCATTTTCCCCTGTCTGATCTTTGCTCACGCATAGCTTTGTCTTTTCCTCTTCAGGAGCTTAGCGCAAAAATACCACTGGGCAATACTTGTATGAGTCTGGATTTTAAAGAGTGATTGCAAATTCTCACTCCCTGAAGTCAGTTCAGGATATATTCTTTCATGAAAGGCTCAAACAGGAAAAGATACATATTTTAAATGTCTCCAAGAATGCTTTCAAATAATTTTTAAAGTATACTGAGGGGGACAGTTAATATCCCATGAGAGAGGTGCTGTTATAGGCTGGAGATAACACTGGTGGCTTGTATTTGAAGGGACAGGCTCCTCCTGTTTTCAGGGACTAGCAGGCTGATCAGGATATTTATTTAAGGCCAAGTGATATCTGGTATCTATGAACAGGGCAGGCCATTCAGCTCCATGGACTTGCTGCTGTGCTGGACCACATAACTTCTTTAAGGAGACGTGTTGCCCTGTAAGGGATCTGATCTGTAAATGCCTCACAGAGAGTTTGCAATTGTCCTTGGTTATCAGTGGTGCCCTGCCTGTGATATATACATGGCCTACTACCTAATCCAATTTTTTTGTCCTTTTGCACAGTTCTACCCAAATGATCATTGCATGCTGTAATCAATCTCTTATTTCTTTGATAAAATAAACACAGAGGACTGTTGGAAGTCTACATTTATCAGGTCTTTTCTACAGCAGTAAATAATCCTTGTAGTTTTTTCTAAATCCCTTCCAGTACTACACATATCTTTTAACATGAGACAAAAAAACTTTGTCAAACCAACCAGTCTGAATTTTACCTAGACCATGCAGTTTAGCAATCAAAACCTGACAGAATTTTTGACATTATACTCAGTTTGAAGGCCACTTCACATTTAAGAAAGAAGTGAGAGGAGTGGTTATATCAGGGGAACTCACTTTCTTGTTCCATGGTCTGTCGTGAAGCTCAACAGTCTTTAAGCCTCACAATCTTTTGGGATCCACATGCTACATATCTTGCCACCAAAGTGGTGCAAGTTATGTTACCAGAAATATGGAAATTCTTGTGAAAAGAGTAATGTGCTTTGCTGTTAGCTGCCAGGCATCTCAGCATAGCAGTGTTTTGTTCCAAGTACCTGGGTACCTGCCAGGTACAAAAGCAGGGGATCTCCTGCCTGTCCCTCTGCCCTTCTCACCTGAGGGGTCCTTCTGGTGCTGCTGAAGTGCACAGAATGGCCAAACATGTGACTATGAGATACAGGGCTGGGAAGTTCCCCTTGTTTATGAGGTCCTTGGTTCCTCTCAGTGGTTCTGCTATGTTTAAGGTTCATTGCAAGTGAAACAAGAGAAACATTTTTTTGACAGGTTGAAAATTTACCCTTTGAGGGCACCTATTACTTTTTGCAATGGAAAGAAATTGGGACATTTAAATCTGAAGATTTATTTTTTCAAAACAAAAAATTATATTTTATAAATAGATGTGATGGGGGGGTCTGGGACTTGGTGCTTATGTGACTCAAAGGAGGACAATAATTACTTATTTTTTAATTGCAGTAATAAATGCTATATCCATGTGTTAAAAGAGACAGGAGCATATGAAGAAAGTCAAAGTAAGATCATTTTACTGTAATCCTCTTTGCTGCGTGTGATTGCAAAAACTAAAATGTTCTGTCCTAATGCTGCTGGTTTTTTCTCTTAAATATTTTTCCTTTCCTTTTGAATGAGAGGCAGATATGGGACATCTGCTCTCAGCAGCTGAAAGAAATGGTGGCATATGATGTTCCAACACAGATGTCATGTCTTGAACACTCCCACATATTTCCAACTGTTATACTTCATGTTGTTCTTTCATATTTATTGGAGATTTCCAGTGATGGAGACTATCAGTTTTACAGTGATGTAACTTTGAGACACTGTTACCAGTTGAGCCACAGAGCCTCTTTGCTAGTCAGACCTGGTGGATTAAACTAGATTTTTACATTTCCAGGCACTTGGTGTACAGGGCAGCAAACAGCACTTGACCCTTTGGCATCACTGCTAACATGCAGCTGAATATAGAACTTCAGAACATGGGGCTGTGATGTTTACTTGGCTTTCAACTAATGTGCTCAAACAACAAAATATTACCACAAATGGTGCATTCATTTGCTTGTTTCAATATCAGGAACACATATAAAATAGAGTTAAAACACAATTGCATTCAGTTTTTAAAATGACATTGAAAATATATCATATTTCTGTTGATTTCCTGTTCAACTAAAATTGGATATTCTGTCCCTTCATTTATATCCAAGCATCAAAACAGTTGAGTGAGATAAGAAAGCATGACTCTTCACTGTTGAATAATCATTTAGGCACTCATATCTCAAAACCATGCAGAAATAAATATTTTTGTGAGCTAATTTAGATTTTGTAGATAAGCTCTGGGAAAAAGGAAAGAAAATTTCCTCCTTACAAAGAAAATGAAGTTCCAGCACCACACTGTTGTTGAGACTTTTGTTCTAGTTCATAATCACAATTGTCTTGGTGCTGATAACAGAGCAGGGATGGAGCAGATAGCAAGATTTTGTTTG